AGAATTTTCAAGGATTGGTGAGTATTTCTTTTAATTTCTTTTGTTACTTGTTCTGCAGTTCTACCTGTACTGCTGTAACTCTTCCACTTCAAAGCAATTATGCCTGGCATTCAGCGTGCATGAAAGGCTGATGCAGCTCTTGTGCTGTTTTATGTAATCCATCCTTTAAGAGGTGCAGTGCTTTGCCTGAGGTATGCTGAGCCAGCATTCCTTCATCTTTCCAGATGTACTGCAGTGCACTGATAATAATTATTCTGTGCAGTGTCAAATAGCAAGGAATTCCTGCTGTAAATAGGAGCAGATGTAGATATGTGATGTGAGGTATATAGATTCTTGAAAGGGCATGAGAAGAACTGATTCATATGGAGCTGAAGTGCAACCAATAGGTCATGATTATTATACTGTCTATCCACTACAACATCTCTGTATTCAGCTTTCCAGCTAAGTTTTCAGAACTCTGGGCTCTTAGGAACTTAAACCCTGCTGACATGTCTCTCTGCCTTGACACCACTCTAAAATGTTTGCTGGCCTGTCTCTTGGTTATCACCCATCTCATGGTTACAGGTTTTACCCAGGTAAAAGTGTGACTCTGGATTCCTTAAAAATTTTCTGTCATTATTAACACTGGAATCTCTTCTTAAGTACTCTTATTCAATTATCTCCTTTTAATGTAAGTCCAGTACATATAATTCAACTAAGTAGCTTCTGAACTCAGTCTGTGTCTCTGATGTGCTCTGGATTGTTATTTTCTGAATTTATATGTCGTGTTCACTTTTACATTTTCTGTAATGCAGAAGAAGACTCCAGTATCCATTTCCAGTCAAAGACTTAGACCCAAGAGGTTTTCACTGTAGGAAAGTGATGAGAGGTGTGATCCAAACTCAACAGGACTTTTGATTTTACTACATTCTTGTGTTCAGAGATTATTGTGAAAATTTTGACTCCATTTCCAAATTATTCAGCTACTTTGTATTATACAAGAATCAGGGGTTAAATCTGACACTTGATTTTGGGTAGTTTAGCAGTCTGTTCCACCCCTAATTGCAGTTTATTTGTTTTGGTTTAGTTTGGCATTTGAACTACCCTTAAAATATAAGTATATTTGTTAAACTGAAAGTTTTCAGTTAAGGAAAATGAAGTTTTTCGTGGCTGTGGATTCCCAAATTGCCCTGCCTTTCACAGAAACCCTTCACTCTATGACAAGGTATGCTTCAGAAAATTCACAGTTTTTAAAGCAGAAAGCAGAAATTATCTATCTGACCTTTGATTAGACTAAGATAAAAGGCATAGAATTTGTGGAGCCCATACTGGTAAACAAGATATTATTAGAAGACTTTCTAACTTAGGATGAGCTAATAATTGACAATACTTAGACAAGAAAGAAAATCTCAGTACATGGGAGCTGAATATGATTTTTCATATTTCTAAATGAAATTCAGTTTCCAAATTCAAATTAATTTGGTGCAAACTATTCCATTTAATGCTAGTGAAGGATTTTTAATGGAAGTGGTTGTCAAGACAATGACACAAATTGATGTGCAAATCCCACAAAGAAAGTTAAGATTGCATTAGTGCTCCTGAAGAAGTCAGTGCATGCCTTACAAAATCTAACTCCTACCTGTGTTTGAGAGGAATTCTCCTCTGCTCTGCAAATTCAGGTTTCTGCCTCACAGCAGTGACCTGACCATCAGTCCCTTTCACTGGAACAGTCCCACTTTGTAAAAAATACTTAAATATTCATGGAGCCAGCTGGTGAGAGAAAAACAATGCTCTAGTCTGATGGTTCAGTAACCCTCCTGGGGAGGGTGGAGGTGTTAGTCTCAGTCCCAGTGAATGTGTAATTATTTATACAAAGTAGGACAGTGTCAACAGGAAAAATGACAAGTCCCATCTCCTAGAAAATTTCCTTGCAGGAATGGAGAAGTCTAAAGGAACAATAATGCATTTGCCAGAAATCTGCCAGGTATAGTTAACAACACTTAAACAAACTCTAAAAATAATTTACAGATTATTCCTGAAATAGCTAAGCTTTTGGATGAATAGATGTTCTTCCACATCTCTGAGACAGACCTTGTTCCTCATATTAAGTGAACAGGCCTTTCATCCTCCAAAGCAAAACAGCCCTTAAAAATAGAAATCATTCAGAACATATTTTAAGAACTTAGCATCTCATAACATCATACCTCCATCCTTGCTCCTACTGACATCCATGGAAGGAAAGACAGTATTTATACGTCCCACAAGCAGATCTGTCTCTTGGAGAATGCTGCTATAATGGTTTGTGTCTGACAGGAATAAAGAACTCTTGAGCCCTGCCTGCCAGTTGAATAGCCCTGGCTGTATGGAGCTCTAGCAGTAATGTTTGTGCAGAGTCTTGCTGAAAGCATCGTGCAAGGCACGACTCTTTGGCACAAATGAGTTTTCACTGAACCAGCTAAAAGACAGACAATGTTTCAGACAGCAAATTCTCCTTCAGAGCTAAGGCAGAAGGAGCAAGCTTTAAGCTATGTGCAGGCTGAGGAGAACTGCTCTCGCTTTATCTCAATTTGTGAATTAGACAGTGTGCCACAATTTCCTAACATCTTCTTACAGTTTTATGAGTTTCTATAAGAGAACTCAAAAAAGCATAGGTAGTTCTAGTGCATATGCCTGACCTACCGACACCCAGCTTGACCAAACTGGCATCAGGAATTAGAAATTCACTACCTCTGGCTTTAAAAAGTGAATTAAAAAACCATAAGAGGTTTAAGCTTTAGTCATCAAAAATCAGAGCTGCCTGAAAATTGTTTTTAAAGCTCAGCTGTAAACAGTGTTGTAATAATTCATATTACAGTAAGTATAGAGTCATATCCCTTTTGTTAGTAATATGTTTTGCCAATAAAATGACTTTCATAAAACTAAAAAAATTCATAGTGTGAAAGGCCTTTCAGAGGAATGTATTATTAAAGCTCAGTAGTTTCTGACATCTGGAAAGAAATTCTGGACTGCAGAGCAATAAATGACCTGTAATCTTTAAAACATATTTTCAGATGAAAGATTTACAAAGAAAATTTTGAATGTTAGCTGCTGAAAAGGCAGAGAAAACTGTCTTACTCAGAGACGGATGGGACACAGCAGATTTCTGCATCTACACATCTTATGTAAAAGCTGTAAAGAACAGGCAGCTGTCATCAAGAGGCAAAAACCCACCAAGTGATATTGTGATGAATACTCAAAAGACTGGGGTGTCCTGCAGACTGTCCCTGGCCACGTGCTCACAGGAAAAAAGCTGTTCTCCTGGCCCAGGATGTGCAGGCAGTGCAGATATAAAGCCCTCTGCAAACTGAGTTTACAGCTGCCTGTCCTTGGGTGTCTGATCTGAGTTTTCAGACAGATTTCATTACTCTGTGCAGCCCTGCTCCTGCCTGTGGGCTGTGGCTGTGGCACGCTGAGTGTGTAACCTGTGTCCTTGCCTCAGCTCACTCTGGTGGTGGCCAAGGGTATAAGGCTGGGATGGCAGCACTGCAGAGCAGGGAGCGTGAGGCTGGCATCCCTGGGGAGCTGTGGCTGTGCAGCTGCAGGATACGAGTATGAAGGTTTTGCATTGTAGCTCAGAGACCCCTGAAGCCTGGCAGCTCTGCATCCTTTTTGTCCTTCCTGTTAAGTCTGTTGGTGTCACATAAATTCTCTGTAAGTTTAAGATAATTCTTAACTGGGCATTGGTGAGAACTGTAATGAACAGGGCTTATGCCTTTATTCATGTTCACTTCTTTATTAAAAGGATTAGCTGGGCAGGGGGCTTGACATGGAGCTCACCCACACTGCTGTAGCTTTTTCTGGTAGCCAAAGGGGGAGAAGGTGTGCAGAGCCTGTTCCTGGGGTCTCCATGGCACACTGGTAGCCAAAGGGTGAGGGGATGTGCAGAGCCTGCTGCCAAAGTGCAGCAGCAGCTGTCCCCTGTCCTTCCCTCCTGGGAACAGCAGGAAGAGTTGCTCCTTTGTTCCTGCTTCCCACAGCCCCGTCCAGTCTGGTCCCCTGCAGGCTATGGTGACAGGTCAGACACAGACCAGGGATGTGGTTCCCTTTTCCCCAACCAGCTCACCCATCCAGCCCCCTCCACTGTGCCCAGCCTTCCATTTAGGGGTGTTTTCATCCCCAAAATCCCCTCCCATGATTCCACCGGTCTATTTTGCATCCCAATCCTAGTGTGGGTGGGGTTGTAGGTGATTCCCAGGAGCAATTAGCTAATTAACAGTTCAATGTTAGTACTTAGCTCAAGCTGAAGTGTCCCAGCTAGGCTGTTTTGTTCATAACAAGAACACTGCACTGTAACTCCAGCTGGACCAGAGAATGACTGCCCCCAGTAGTCAAAGCTGAGCAACAGCTTATAACTATGTTGTTTTATTTTGTTGACAGCTAGTCCCAAAGCAGCTGATACTTTTGCAACTTGATCTCTTCATGGAAGTAATTAAGGGAATGTGAGAATTTCAAGAAAATTCTTTCAGTTAAGGGATAATGGTCAAAGTTTTATTTCCCCCATTACATTTCTATTTCTTCTACTATGTTCCCATCATAAAATAAAAATCTTTGAATATACAATTATAAGTGAGATCTGAAATTAAAGATTTAGCCTCTATACACCCTGGAGATTGTTGTCCTTCCTACCTATAAAGAGCCATATGAAATCCCCAGAGTTCTGTTTTAATTTGTGTAAGAGGAATTGTAAACATGTCACTGAAACTCCCCCCCAAAACCTTCTGAAGAGTGCTGTAGATGAGAAAACTCCCTGTCATGTGAAGCCTTTCTATTTTTACCATGTCACTAGGAAGAGTCACTGTTTACTGTATTAGCTATAACCTAATGATTTATGTCCTGTGGCAAATCCAGGACTGGAATTGTTGGACAGGTTGTGGTGTTTCTATTATTACAAACCTGTTACATTTGACATTGAGCATAAAAGATGGAGCTCATACTGCAGAACATTTCTTATACTCCTGAGAGTAAATCCCAGCAGTTATTACCAGAAAAGATGCTGAAGCCTCTGAGTTCTCATTGATTGGACTTGCAAGTCGATCAGTCCTGTTGAGATATGTAAAATCTGTTGACAAAGAAATGATGACTGATATCCTAAGAATAAAATCTAATTACAAAACCAGTAAATCTTGCTATTGCCAGGGCAAATTCCTCAGACACCAGAATTTCACTCTCAAAGGGTATTTTGTATGTAGACAGGTTGTGTGTTGACTTAGTTTATATAATGTGCCTGAAACATCCAGAAAAGCTTTACCTATAGCTGGGCTGTGTGAGGAAATAAGTGCATTTGGTTTTCAATGGCCTGTCAGAATAAAATATGTTTTTACTGGATTTAACTGAATGTACAAGCATGATTGCATGTTGGTACATTTCGACTGTATTTCAAGTGGGATGTAGAGTTATTTACTCTTTTGTGCTAATACAACCAACTGTATGAAACAGGAAGAGAAGACTACTGAAAGGCCACAGGCAGTAAGTAAGTCACTTGTATGTCCTGCTGTGGCAGCAGCACATGTAGCTACACACAGATACATGAGCCTCAGGCAGGGCACCAGTGTGGCACTGACACAGGGAGCAGTGTGCTGAGCACAGCCTCACTGCCTGCTCCACCTTGGCTCTTTTCAGAGAGTTTCCACACACATTCAAGGCAGTTGTCAGTGTTCTGCTTGCAACAGAAGGAATCAGATCGCAAGAAATTTGGCTTCAGGCTTGAAATTTGTAAAGGGAAACAGATGAGATAGTGAAGTTGGGTCAGAAAGTGGGAAGAAATAAATGAAAGGAAGAAAGTTGTAAAGAGAGTTGAAAACACTTTGATGAGACGCTACATATGCATCCATACAATAAGGCTGCTAACTTTCATAGCTTGTGCCAACACAAGATGTAGGGATCACTGGGCAGCTTGCACAGGAAGTCATAATACTGTAAAAATTTTCCATATGCTGGTGGACCAGATTTGCTCAAATCCCAACTTTGACAAGGGCTGTGGAGATCATCTAACAGCCTCAGACAGCAGCTCTGGATTGTGGCTGTGTCCAGAAGAGACTTATTTGAAAGATGAACAATGGACAGGAAAGCACAGCTGTCTCAAGGGTCCTGTATGGTCTTTGGCATAGGTTAGGAGTGATGTGTCACTGGCTAAAATGAATGGGAGTTCCCCAGGAGAGCTGGGCATGGCAAGCCAGGAGCTGATGTCTGTGTCTGTCACTGAGACTGTGTCAGCTCTGCCCTACAAACAGCATAGCCAGTCCAACAGCTCCTGCAGGAAACTAGCACGCAGGGCTTGAATCATAGCACTGTTACAATATTCCAGTTAACACTGCAATGTTAGAGCCAAGAAGGGGACTGCAGCATTTCAGAAAGTACATTTTAATGCCCTAAGGTGTTGAAAACTTGCATGAAATATGTGTGTTGTTTGACATCAGCTGGGAATATGGTAGGCAGGTTCTATGAACACGGGTCAGTCTGAAACCTGAGTAGCAGAGAAAGAGTTGTTCCCATGCAGTAGGCAGCATGCTGTGCTGGCTGTGGCAGGGTGGTCATGGCATTGTGCCAGCCAGGTGTGCTGCCTCGTGGCTACCTCAGGCTTTACCAGGGCTCATCCATCTCACTGGGTCTGGGCCAGGAAGGAGCCATTTCTGAACTGATGACTTGCAACTGCTCAACTTTGCAAGGTGCAATCCTGCATAGGAAGATACTTTCAGATTTTCTTTTTTACTGTTTGCCTGTTTTGTTTCTTTGCTTGCTTGTCATGCTGGTTTTAAACTACTATATGAGTCTAATGAGTTAATCTGCATCTGCTGTGGTATGTATGTGATAAAGGAAACAGATCAAATGAATTTATTTTAGTCAATATGTTTAAATAAAAAGTCAACATGGCAAGATGCATACTTTCACTCTGATTGATTTATGTTCAGTTTAAGTTCCAGGAATGTCTAAGAGAGTGGCATCATCCCCTTCAAAACAGGTTTGGTTTTTTTTGGTTGGTTTTTTTTTTTTTTNTAAAGCATTATTTTTGCCAGACGGCCAGATCTCCGTGCCAGCTTCTCCCTGAGAGTGTTCCATGGATGGGGCCCCGCGGCCGTGCCCAGCCCCGCTGCGGCTCCTGCCGGCGGCGCCGGCCCCCGGAGCCCGTGCAGCGGCTGCATCCCCGCGCACAGCGCCCTGCTCCTGCTCTCCGTGTGCATGTGCTGGGGCAGATCCAAACCATCTGAATTAACCGACATTTTTTGAATATATGTGAATAATTTGTTTGGCCTTGCTCATTTCAAGCTGAAATTGAGGATTCGATCCAACTCAGACCTCAGAGAGCAGAAGATCCTGAAATTGGCTGGAATAAACTAACACATTTGAAGCATTAGAAAGCAGGCATTCTTTATCTGTGCAGGACACACAGAGGATTTTTTTTTTTTATTCTGTGTGTGTTGTGAGGCTTTACAACAAGGTATTTATCCATCATAAACATACATATTCATTAAAACGTGGTTCTTATTTAATACATAAACATTACTTTCCTATAACTAATTTGTATGTATCCACCTCTAACATGAAGTCCTTTTTTGGTCCTGGAGAGTCATAAAAGTGGTCTTTAGTGGTTGTATTCACTGAATGCTTTTATATTAAATGTAACATTTCCTGAACTTTTTCTTTGGGTATGTGCTGTTACTTCTTTGTTACATGACTTGCAAAAGAACACTCTAGTCCTTTTAATCTGTTTGTCCACTGGTTCCAGCCATGTTTATCCTCCTGCGGTCATATTTTTACATCAATTTATCTTTTTTTTTTTTTTTTTTTTTTTTTTTTTTTTTTTTTTTTTTTTTTTTTTTTTTTTTTTTTTTTTTTTTTTTTTTTGTCATATAGTCTTTAAGCTCTATGCAGCAGCTTGAGGGAAACTGAAAATTTCTATCCTCTATATAATTTATCATTAATGTCTGAGTTAGAAAATGGGGTTTGTTTTCTTAAAACTGAATAACACCAGATCTTATCTAGGAAACTCCTGCGTGTTGACCTCAGTGTCCTCCATGGGTCTGCTGGGCACAGACTAATGTTGCAAAACTTTTTTCTGAGCAGCAGGCCTGAATCTCTCTATTCTGAGGTTCCCTTGGCACAGCAGGCAGGCAGGGCTGTCACTGCCTGGTCCTCAGGCTGCTTTGACTGGTGTGTGGGAGCTGCCCTGGTGGGATCAGGTGGCTCCGTGCCATGGAGGGACTGGTGCAGCACAGAGATGTGCTGTGCCACGCTGCATTCCTGCTGCAGCCTCTGTGCCAGTACTGCACACACGGATGTCATTGGGACATAGGAGGGGAAAAGAGCTTTTTACAAGTCAGAATCATTCTCCAGCCTGTTTGAGCCTTCTGGGCAAAATGCCAAGGGAAGAGAACTGAGACTGGTGCTTGTTTTGAATTTAGCTCAGGAATCACTTGAGAAGGGAACTGCGCTGCTGCTGACCTATTATAGTGCACATGGGAAGTCGTCACCTTAGAAGCTTCATTTACCTGCCTATTTGTTGCAGATTGTTTCTTCATGAACTAGCTGGGGGACTGAAATGGCTTTTGGAACAGAGTGATGAGTAATAAGTTGGAAGTCACTCATGTCTAGGACATACCTGGCAGTGTTGCCCTGACACTGAAATTAGAAATCATGACAGTTCCAGAGCCTGAAAATCATAATTATTTATTAGCTCTATGTGCATATTTGGCTAATGAATACCATTCATTGGATTTATTTGAAAGCAGCAATGAAGTGTGTTGGAAACTGCTAGGCGAACATCTAGTACTTTCCACAGAGAACTTGCACTTCAAGCTACAACTGCTGTAAAGGGGAGAGGGCCAGATTCACTGTGGGACTAAAGTAGCTCTGCTTGGAGAAAGTCACTGTAACTTTCAGAAGAGAAAACAGTGATTACTTCACTTGGTAATATTTGCAAGTCCACCAGTTCATTTGCTTAGTGCAAATCCATGTAAGAATCTGCCAGCAAAGTAAAAATCAATACATCTTTTAAACTCTGTGAGGTTAATTTTACTGTTTTTTTTTTTCTTTTATAAGGAAGACTTCTAAAATGTCTTTCTGTCTTTTTTGTAGCAGCTGGAGACCTCAACCAAAGTATGTAGAGCACCATCACCTTTTTCATGTATGTAATTCAGCCTTATATCTGAATACAAGAATATATCATCACAGATTAACTGTAATGGAGGTATCTACTATTTGCCATTCATTATATCAATTCACTGTATTCTTTGGAATAATGGTCATCAGTAGAAGCAGATCTGAAGATACACTGTATATTCCCTCTGAGGTGATAGGGCTGCCAAATGCTATGCTAGCTGGGACTTTAAATAATATTCATTTAACCTGAACATTTTGCATTTTGAACAGGTTTCCCACTCTTGTATATGTTTTCAGTCTGTATCAGTTCTCTGATATCAGTTCTCTGTATCAGTTTACTGAACACAATTAAGTCAAATTGGTTTTTTTATTGTCCAAAGAACATCTGAACTTTAGAATAAAAGAGATGACATGCTTCTGTTAGAGCAGAATACTTATAGCTTGAAGGAATGTGCTCTATTGATAAGCAAAAAGGTGTTCTTCAGAGAATATTTGGCTTCTCTCTTTAAGTTTTGAGTCCATATTCTACAGACATAAATATTCTTTTTAACTATATTGGCTAGTGAATATATTTTTCAGTGCTCAGTGATTCTGCTTACTTAACTGTTCTAAACTGTTTCTTTTAAAGCTATGATCTTCTACTACACTACAAGAAACAATGTTTTGATGTAATTGGTACAAATGGAAACTCTGCACCTTTATTTCATTACTAAGTTGGTGCATTTCTGGCTATATATACTTTGCTCTTTGTTTTGTATTAAATTTTTTCAGACGATGCCCTGAGAGTGCTTTAAAGTGCTACAGCTGAGGAGGGAATGTGAGTCTTGGGTGCTGGATGTAGGCACTGCCTTAGGGCTGGATGGCAGGATCTGCTGTGCCAGACTCTTACTGGCAGCATTTCCCTGGCACTGTCTGCTCATTAGGGCTCTGCTTCTATAGCACAC